CCAGCCCATTTACTACCTGCTTGGCAACCTGGCCGCAGCTGACCTCTTTGCCGGTGTAGCCTACCTCTTCCTCATGTTCCACACAGGCCCGCGCACAGCCCGGCTCTCACTTCAGGGCTGGTTCTTGCGGCAGGGCCTGTTGGACACGAGCCTGACGGCGTCCGTGGCCACACTCCTGGCCATCGCCGTGGAGCGGCACCGCAGTGTGATGGCCGTGCAGCTGCACAGCCGCCTGCCCCGAGGCCGGGTCATCATGCTCATCGTGGGCGTGTGGGTGGCCGCGCTGGGCCTGGGGCTGCTGCCCGCCCACTCCTGGCACTGCCTCTGCGCCCTGGACCGCTGCTCGCGCATGGCCCCCCTGCTCAGCCGCTCCTACCTGGCCGTCTGGGCCCTGTCCAGCCTGCTCGTCTTCCTGCTCATGGTGGCTGTCTACACTCGCATTTTCTTCTATGTGAGGCGGCGGGTGCAGCGCATGGCAGAGCATGTCAGCTGCCACCCCCACTACCGTGAAACCACGCTCAGCCTGGTCAAGACTGTTGTCATCATCCTGGGTGAGTGGCACCCTACTTCCCAACTCCTGCGAGACTGATAGAGCATGATGGGAGGGGATGATCTGGGTGGGGAATGTTCTCCAAGGAGGTGCCACCTGGGCAGAGGCAAGGCAAGAGTTCCAGGCAGAGGGAACAGAAGGTGACAGCCCCAAACAGGACCAGCCCAGTGTCTCCAAAGAGGGGAGAAGGCCCACGCGACTGGTCCGCAGGAAGAGAAGGTCAGCACGGCCTCAAAAGGCACAGACAGGAGTCATATTTTGTTCTCTGTTCCATGGGAAGCCCTTAAGAGTTCTTAGCCAGGAGTAATGAGGTCTGGCGGTTGAATGTAGAATGGTCTGAGCAGGGGAGGTGCACACACCACCCCCAAAAAACAAAGAGCAACTCTTCCTAATCATTCCTGTTCCGCCACCGAGTAATCGTTCGGTCCCACAGTGACCTTTCCCCCAAAGAACAAATCTCTATGTAGAAATGTCCAGGGTCCTGTCCACCGTGTACCAGTTAGGAAGGGCTTTCCTCTGGCAGACAATCAGAGAAAGGTTTCCCCTCTTAGCAGTTCTGCCCCATCATGCTACAAAGGCAGCAAGACAGGCAGCTCTTCCCTACAAACTGCACAGCTGTCGCCCAAGCTCTGGAGACTCCTCCAGTTCTGAGCCATTGCAACAGCTGGCGCTGCTCACATCAGGCTCCATCCCGCAGGGGCGTTTGTGGTCTGCTGGACACCGGGCCAGGTGGTGCTGCTTCTGGATGGTCTGGGCTGCAAGTCCTGCAACGTCCTGGCTGTGGAGAAATATTTCCTACTCTTAGCCGAGGCCAACTCGCTGGTCAACGCCGTGGTGTACTCATGCCGAGATGCTGAGATGCGCCGCACCTTCCGCCACCTCCTCTGCTGTCTGTGCCTTCGCCGGTCCACCCACAAGTCTGTTCGCTACACACCCTCCACCCAGACAGGCCCTAGCACTCGCATCATGCTTCCTGAGAATGGCCATTCCCTGATGGACTCCACCCTTTAGCTAACCTTGGACTTCAGCAGGGTACAGCAAATGCCAGAGCTCTGCCCCTGGCCACTTGTGGGTGCGCCCGGCTCTACCCAATCTGCGGGCCAGACTTAAAGGCAGACCCTCAGTCTGGCTTGGCATGAAACCACTGCCAGCCCTACCCAGGCAGACAACTGTGCCCATCTCAGGGCCTGTAGGTTGGGGTCATCTAAGCACCTGGGAGAGAGTTGAACGAGGTGCAGGAATCTGGCTCTTCAGTCATCTCAGGTTGCAGGGCTTTTTAACGGACACTTTTCTGTTTTTACTGCACATGCCTGGCAAGCCCTGTGGACTGGCTTCCTCGTCCACGGTGGCGTGGGTAATAAAGGTGGGAGAGATTAGGGCCCCCTCAGGCCACGCTGCCCAGTGCAACAGGGTAACAAGGATGGACCATGGGCGCCCCATCTGCCTGAGGCTGATTGTTTAGGGCCACAGACTGAGGAGTGCTGAGCGTGAGCTGGGAAAGGTTTATGGCCTCTGGCAGCCTCCAGTGGTCTTGCCTATCCCCACAAGAATTAAGGGGGTCTACAAGGAGGGGGTGTGTAAAGAGTAAACCTTTCCGCTCCGAGGTCTCCAAAGCCTTTTCTGTTGTCAGCTTATCTGTCTGTCCCTGTGTCCCAGAATTGTCCACCTCAGCTCAGGCTGAGCTGGGATCCTTCAACGTGGCATCTCCTGGGCCCTGTTCCCATTCCCCTTTGGTCTCTGCATGGCTGTTGCTCCGTCTCTCTTGTTGTTCCCTTTTGCCTCTGTCTCCTCCACCTCTTTCCCTGCCTTCATCTTGCCACCTGCCTCTCTGTCTCCATTCTCTGGAGCCCAGAGTAGTCTGTGGCCTGTGTGAGGCTTCTCTCACCTGCCTGCCCCCTTGTCTGAGTCCAGATTGTTAATAGTCAGGTGTGTCCATCCCACTGCCCACTCCATCACCTACGTGCACACCTGTGGGCTTGGGGTAGTGGGGTCCATGGACCAGAATGCAGGATTTTAGAGTTGCCATTTCTCAAGCTTCTCTGATGTGCCTGGCACACTGATAAGCGTTTTAGGTGCATTATTTAATCACCACCTGCATCTTGTGGCATAGGTATTATATATATTTTCATGTGAGGACAGTGGCTCAGAGAGATCGAAATTTGGCCCATGGTTACATAGTTTCAAAAGGGCACAGAGATACATCGAGGGACTAGAGAGACCCCTGAGGAAAGGACTTCGGATTTCCACAAAGTCCGGAGTTGGTCACAAGCTCAGCCTGGCTTTCCCCACTTCACCCTGTGGTCTCAGATGTGCCAGACCCATGATGAGTCCCCTCTCAGATACATAGAGGCACTGTGCTAGACACGGCGTAAACCAGGATCTGGATTCTCTCTGCTTACACACCTAGCCAGATTTTGAACCCAGGCCTCCCATCAGAGGCTGAATTCTTAAACTACTAAAGCATGCATTGCCAAAGAACCAAAAATGTGTAGATCCTTCTACATTAACTGGGGCTGAGTTTCCCTTTGGGAAAATTCTCCCTGCCCTACAACAGCTCTGTGAGGAGGCAAGAACGAACTGGGGTGCCAGGTACTTCTCCAGGGTCCAAGGTAGGCAGTGTGGCTCCTTGAGCCTGGGGCCTGAATCTCAGAAGTGATGACCTAGGCCAGCACCCAGCCACGTGGATGGGGACATAGTCCTTGTCTCCAGGGAGCTCTAGGCCTTTTGGACAAAAGTATCACTTTGGGTAAAGGCAGCCAGCCATTCCTATGGGGTGGGAACCCCTGATGGTCTCCAAAGGTAGCTCTGTTTCACCTGCTCTGAGCTGGCTGCTCTTGCATCAGCATCTTCCAGGTTCTAACCCACACTCTTCTGGTCTCCTTCGGGATCTTGTCCCATCAGTTTTTCCCTCTCTGTAGGTCTCTCCTCTCCACCAGGTGACTTAAGGTTTTTGTCTCAGATGGTCCCTGAAGCTCTCAACCCATCTCCCCACCACTGTTCTCTGAAGGATACCAAAGTTACCCACTACTTTTCAGACCTCCTGTGTGGTGCTGCACTAGTAGTGGCTGACCTTTTGTACAGGGTACCAGCTCTCCATGGTCCCCACATGTTCTAGTACTTCCTGTTACTGGGGCCAAGTGTCAGGTTTCCTTCATCAAGGAGCTTTCCAGGTTGTTCTTACACTAGCCTACATCATTCATTTCCATTCCCTTTGGAGTGCCCGAATCTAATCAGACCAGTTGGTGTTTGCATTTCCTCTCCAGCAGCAATGTGAAGAAGATGGGCCCTGTCCTGAAGGGTTCCCAGGAGGTTGAGGTCCCTTTATGAGCCTCGTCTGGGGTCTGTCCCCATTGCAAACAGGCTCTAGGAGGTCCCATGACTTTGGAGAAGTGATTTATGTCCGAGAATAAATCCTTTTCTCTCGCACAAGAACCCTCTGATGCCAGGAGTCCTAGCAGCTAGAAACAAAGGCCTGTGAAGATTCGCTCTGATTTGGGGGTGCATCACAGAGTAGGTCCTCAGAAAGCATCCTTCACGTGCTAGCGGAATGCTGTAAAGCAAAAGAATGAATAAAGCAAGGTCACTCTTAATAAGCTGGACCTTGAAAGGTGAATAGAAGTGATTTCTGCAACTGAGAAAATCACTCAGTTTTGACCTTCCAACCACCATCACCACACGTACCTGTACCCCCTATGGAATATTAGAGGTGGGGGGAGGGGGAACTGGGAGGCCGGGAGCCCAAGTGACCCACCTGCTGGCACTGAGGCTGAGGGGAGCAGGGGTCTGGGGCTCCGGGCTTCTGGAGATGAATGGGGGTAGGGGTGTTGATGGGGTTCTGAGAGGCTAGGGAGGGTCTGAGAAGCAAGGGGTGGCTTGGAGGAAGAGTGCAGTGCTCTGAGAAGTTAAGACTCTGAGATGTGTAGGTCCCCGAGGAGTGGGATGCTCTGAGACATGGGAGACTATGAGGAAGAGTGGGGGCTGGGGGTGGGGATTGGCTCTGTGAAGTGAGGTGCCTGAGGAGTGGGGACTCTTGAAGAGATGTGCGGGCTCTCTGAGAAGGGAGCGCTCTAAGGACGTGTGCGGTGTAAAGTGTCTCAGAGTAGGAATGGTTGAGGGAGGTGGAGATGTGGGAGATGGGGTTTCTGAAGCAGAGCAAAGCCGGCCTTGCCCTCACCGGCTGGAGGAGGGTAGGGGTAGAAAGCGCCGTTGCCTCAGCAACCCCCAACAGAGTCCTAGGCAGATAGGAGGGGCTTTTAGGGGCCTGCCTGTGGGCGAGGCACGGCGGCCCGCGCGGCGGCGGTTGGCTGACGGAGATAGTAGGGCGTGTCCCTGGGCGGGGCGCGGTCGCCTGGCTGGCGGCGGTTGGCCGTAGGCGGAGGGGGGCGGGGCCCGGGGGCGCGCGTGGTGCGCGCACAGACGGCGGCGGTTGGCTACGACGTCCGCGCGAGCTCTCCAGGCTCGGCTGCTCCTTGGTTGAGCGCCCGCCAGGCCTCGCCGCTCATGGACACCCCGTGCTGCCGCCCCGCTGACCCGCGCCGCTCACCGCCCCGGCCCCCACCGGGCTCCGACACGGACGACGTCCTGCAGATCATGGCCATCACCGACCAGAGCCTGGACGAGGCGCAGGCCAGGTGCTGGCGCGGACTCGGCGGGGGCCACCCAAAGTCGCTTCAGTGAAGGGGGCGGGCCGAGGGGCCAGGGCCGAGGCGGCTGGGGGCGTGAGGGGTGAGGAGGGTGCAGGGTGAGAGATGGGGTGGTGAGTCTGGGCGGAGAGGGAGAGGGCAGATCGGGGGCGGGGGGTTTGAGGAGGACTGAAGGGGGGTTCTGAGGCCGAAAGGATGTTTGGGGTTAAAATGGAACGGATTGAAAGGGGGCTTATGGCGCTAAGCTGTGGGTGCTGGGTTTTAGGAGCTCATCTTGGGGTGAGAGGGATGGGTTTAAGGGGAGTTTGTGGATGGAGAGGTTTATGGTGAAAGGTGGTTTCAGGGTTTATGGATGTAAGGGGGAAGAGGAGTGTTGGGGGGGTGTAAGGGCTGAGAGATGGGTGCACACGGGATTTGTGAAGGATGGACAACTAAATGGATCAGTGGTATGTATGAGGATGGGAAGTTCTGGGGGCAGGTAATGGAGAATGAGTTGTGGGAAATGGGACTCGGGAATGAAGAGATGGTGTGATTTGATTCGGGAAGCATCCAGAAAAAAGGTTAGTGGGGGAGCTGGAGGGGGACAGAGGACCCCCTTTTTTATTAATTTGGCGAATGTTTATTAGACACTATGTGTGGGTGCTGACGTAGTCACTGATCTCAAGCTCATGGTTTGAGGGAGAGAAAGTAAGTAGCAAAACTAAGTATAAGTTGCGCTAAAAGCTGTAAGTAAAGAGATGGCAAGCTGTGGGAAGCCAGGAGAGGGCACAGCACCTTTAGAGGCCCGAAGGTGGGAAAGGGCAGGAAGAATGCAGAGCCAGGGACTGAAAGTCCCCAGTACAGCAGAGAGAGTCTGGAACCAGGATCACATGGGGCCAAGTCTCAGGAAAGAGTTTGGATTTTATTTCAGTTGCAGTGGGAAAATCACAGTGGTTTTAAGACCACCTGTCCCACTTAACCTCCACCCACCACTTGTCAGTGAGCCAGGATTGGTAAAATGTGCTTCACAAGGCAGCCCATTGTGTTTGGGGCCTGCCTGAATTGTTAGAAGGTAGCAAAGCACAGAATGACATCCTTTTGGAGGATGAGGTCTTGTTGAATGGGACTTGTTTGGGGGTAAGGGATGGTCCCTGTGGATGGGACCAGGGTGTAGTGGTGTGGGCTGTGCAGTGCCTAGAACCTTCTAGTGAGGAGGGGTTACAAAGCCAGGTGAACAGCAGCCCCAGGAAAGGAGGAGGCAAGTAAAAGGTGGATATGGCAGGCATTTATTCTTCAAACTTTCTTGCCTTTGCTTCTTGTGGAATGTCGACTCTTTCCACAGTTTTCATGGCCTCTATCTGGGAAGTTAAGAGTGTCACACACACATAACCCCACCGCACACCACTGGAGCATTGTGCTAGGTGCTACAGAAACCAAGATGGCTAAGATGTTCTCTGCCCTTTCAGAGCTCATTCAGAAGGAAGGTGTGTGGGAAACTTAACTCATAAACAGTCATCATAATAGGAGTGTGCTGAGTAGAGATAATTCCTGGCACAAAAGAGCTGGGCCGGGAGAGGGTGCCCTTCTGTGATGCCTTCTCCGCTAAGCCAGTGTGAGAGCAAGGGCATTGTTGTACTTTCCTTTGTATTCCCAGGGCTGTGCACAATGCCTGGCACCTAGTGTTCAGTAAAGTTTTGTGGCACTTAGATTCTGGAAGGATTGGTAGGAGCTAGGGAAGGGGGAAAACGGGCTCTTCACACCCAGGAACCACAGAAGCAGTGCTTTGGGTGCTTGTGGAGCTACCTGTGTTCCTTCTGTTCTAGGCCAGGAGCTGCTTAAGGAGCGAACTCTGCTCAGATGTGGCCTTCCTCAGGCGTGTGTCACCCTGCACTGCCCCAAGGCTGCTACTTTTTTCTTGTAACGATCTCTTGAGATTCTAGACTCCCCTAGGTAGGCTTAGAATGGAATGCAGTCAGTCACCTCTTCTTGCTGTTCTCAGAGAGAGTTGTTTTTCTTTCAAGGCTAAGAAACTGAACAGGGGGTCATTACACTTCCCTTACAACGTAGCTGTTAGGTAGCAGATTCCTGGTTTCTTCCTGAGGTAGAAAGATCCCTGGAGCTTTTATTTTGAGACTTTGGAAGCTTCACATCTGCCCCACTCCTTGCGTAGCCTTTAGATAAATTCAAGGCCCTAAAAGTCACCCAAGTCCAGACACCAGTCTTCAGTCCTCAAGTGGGCGGGCCACTTACTCCACTCTGGAGAAAACACAGCTTGGGTGGGTCTTTTCCTCATAGTAAGCCTTGCTGCCTGGTAGATTATCAGCTTGGGCAGGGAAGCAGATTGTGTCTTTCCTGATCAGCCAACTGGGTGAGGCCTTTGGCTTCCCTGGCCTTTGGCTTCACTTCAACTGGTGAGGTCTTTCTGACCCTGCCCTCTCTCTGAAACAAGAGAGAACGGTTTCATCTCTGTGCGCTGCCGACCCCTTAAGAGCCCCTGGAGTCAATTTAGCTCAACTGGCTTGCAAGAAAAGAATTTTTCATCTCAGATTTGAGACCTTCTCAACCTGCTTTGTCACCGTGTGCTTAAAGAAGGGAAGCACACCTACTGGATTCTTTCTTACACCTTTCTACGTTATTAGGAAGGCAGCTCCACATACTTGGGTGTAATTCATTTTGTTACTATAGCTAAATAGTCTTCAAATAGTGAACTGTGTATTGTTCTTCCTTCTGGCTACACAGATAGTAGAGGGACACTGGGGAGTTTGGAATGCACTGTCTTGGTTGAAATTCAGCCCACGTCAGCTGGAAATTCCCTGTGTGATAGGTAACTAGTCTTCTTGAATGATCTTCTGAACTTCTTTGGTGACACCCTGAGCTTTTCCTAGAGAGGGACAGTTTTTGTGTTTTCTGAGTTGGATCTTCCACTGATCACGTTCTCATTCATTTCTTATATGGGACCGGGAAGGCAGGAAATTTTCTCTTGTTTGCCAAGGATTTTCTGAGTATGTCACTCTATCATGTGTAGCCTTAGTTTTTATAATAATAAATTTGACAACATGTTGAAGTTTATGTAGATTTGTTTCCTTTGCTTCTTTTGAATACCTTTATGAAGGGTTTATAAGGTTATCAGACTAGGGTTGAGGGCTCCTCTGTCAGGACTCTCAGGTTCCAAAGTTCTTCCCCCTCCCAGAGTTGTTAACCAGTGTTTGAATCATCGGCCCCTTTGAAAATCTGGTGCAATCTCTGGGTCCCCTCCTAACCATGCCCCCTGACAGTGTGCTTGTGTACCACACCTTTGAGAATCCTCAGGCCTCAGGTGTCCTGGGGCCTGGAAGCTGCCCCTCGTCAGTGGTGGACTCACTTTTTTGTCTAGTCGTGAGATTCCTAACAAGTCAGTGTGAAAACTCTAGAGCTGGGAAGGCTGAGGGGTGAGTTTTGGAAACCTGATTTTAAAAGGAAGCAGAATGGTCAACAATGTCGTCCTGGAGACCTGGGCTCCAGACCTGATGTTCTGGAAGAGGCAGCTGAAGAGGACTGGCCCTTCAAGTCATTCTGCATGTTGGAACGACAGGTGGGTTGTGCTGCCAGATTGGCAGATTTAGCTGTTGTGGTCAGTTCTTGACCTTTTGCTTGCAAGGGCATGAAGATGCTCTAGAGAGCTACACTGTCCAATGAGGTAGCCACTTGCCATGTGTCTCTGTAAATTAAAATGAATTAAAATAAACATTCAGGGAACTTCCTTGGTGGTGCAGTGGTTAAGAATCTGCCTGCCAATGCAGAGGACACGGGTTTGATCCCTGGTCCAGGAAAATCCCACATGCTGCGGAGCGGCTAAGACTGTACGCCACAACTACTGAGCCTGCGCTCTAGAGCCCGCGAGCCACAACTACTGAAGCCCACATGCCCTAGAGCCTGCGCGCCGCAATAACTGAGCCCACGCACCGCTACTGAAGCCCGTGCTCTCTAGGGCCACTTGCCTAAACTACTGAGCCCGTGTGCTGCAACTACTGAAGCCCGCACGCCTAGAGCCCGTGCTCCGCAGCTAAAGAAGTCACACCAGGCTTCCCTGGTGGCGCAGTCGTTGGGAGTCCGCCTGCCGATGCGGGGGACGCAGGTTCGTGGCCCGGTCCAGGAGTATCCCGCATGCCGTGGAGCGGCTGGGCCCGTCAGCCGTGGCCGCTGAGCCTGCGTGTCCGGAGCCTATGCTCCACAATGGGATAGGCCACAACAGTGAGAGGCCCGCGTACCGCAAAAAAAAAAAGAAAGAAGTCACAGCAGTGAGAAGCCCGCTCACCAAAACGAAGAGCAGACCCTGTTCACCACAACTAGAGAAAGCCCGCGTGCAGCAACAAAGACCCAACGCAACCACAAATAAATAAATTAACTAAATTAAACATTCAGGGACTTCCCTGGTGGTCCAGTGGGTAAGACTCTGCACTCCCAATGCAGGGGGCCCGGGTTCAGTCCCTGGTCGGGGAACTAGATCCTGCATGCATGGCGCAACTAAGAAGTCTGCTTTCCACAACTAAAGATCCTGCATGCCGCAACGAAGATCCTGCATGCCGCAGCTAAGACGGGTCAAACTAAGACACAGCCTAAATAAATAAATAAATAAATGTTTTAAAAAATAAAATTAAATCAGACATTTCGTTCCTCAGTCACACTAGCTACCTCTCAAGTACTCAGTAGCCATGTGACTACCATCTTAATGCAGGTAGAGAACATTTCCATCATGGCAGAAAATTCTGGACAGCAGTGTTCTAGAGCAATGCTTCTCTTAGCTGGACCTGCAGCAGATCTCTGCAGAAATGTTATTGCACAGGTTCTGATGTAGCAGGTCTCAGTGGGGCCCAAGAGTCCACATTTCTAACCACCTCCCAAGGGTGCCAATGCCGCTGATCTCAGACCATACTTGGAGAGGTCAGACTCTCAAGAGTGGAGATGATAGCGTGTCATTTATTTCAATTTTCATGAATCATTTTACCTAGTAGATGGTTAATCTGACAAAT